CATCAGTATAATCTTTAAATATATTTTGATTCGAATCTTAACACTTAGTTTTAATGGATTGAACCTGCCTTGAAGGGGGGAGTGGATTATAGCGAATAAAAATTGGATATTATTTTCAAATATCCGGTAACAACTATTATAAAAGTAAGGAAAAAATTCTCATTCCCCGTCATTTTTGACGATCTCAGCAATGCTGATAGATGAATCAGAAATTAAGAATATCTTATGAGGGTGTACCTGAGGAGCCCTCTACACGTTTGTGGGCAAGCCGCACGTATTGTACGCGCAACATTTCGAAAAATGTTACAGATGTCAGTTAATATAAATTGTGTAAATTATGAATGCAACATACAAAAATTTGCGCTATATAATAACCATTATAATAAAATAATAATCCATGTTTAACAAAATTAGAATATATGAATCTCAAATTTATAAGACAAGGTAAAATTATCAGACGAAAAGTAAAAATAAAAGTAAAAGTATAATTTGAATAACTGTAAAATAAATTATTATTATTCAACAGTTATTAATAGATTTATTATTAAAAAGCAACTCTGTATATCACTACAATGTGCCTGATTATTCCCAATATTAAGATCCATCTTAAATTTGAAAATAGAAATATGGCGGTTGGATTCTGGTATGATATGATCTAAAAATTTGAAAATTATATTAATAATAATAATCTGAAAATATATTGATAAAAATACATAACTCATAAGTAGTGTTGTTAAACGGCTCGATTTGAGCTGATAAAAACGGCTAACTCAATATTTTAGCCAGAAAAATAGTGTCTAAGCCTCGAGATTGCGTTAATAGATGTTTAAATCTTTTTGCCACCGAGCAAAATCTTAAGGCTTGCATAATAATTTTCCTAATAAAATATTGAGTTAGCCGTTTTTGAAAATCGACTCAAAAAAGCCATTTAATAACACTAAGACTACTCATAGGAGCACGTGATGGTCAAACGGTAAACATCTATGACAAATATTTATACATCTTATTTGGTTGCCAGTTTGATTCCACCTCATATCTTGTTGAAATTTTTCACAAAACGTGATGTTTTTTCTATAACAAAGCTTGTATATATATCAGAGACCTGCAGGCCCGGCCCTAAGCCCGGCCCGGGCAGGGGGCCTAAAAAAAATTTTTTTAAACATATCCGGGCCGGGCCTGGCCTAAAAATTTTTTTTTAAATATATCCGGGCCGGGCCTGGCTGAAGATTGTTAAACCCGGGCCGGGCCTTAATATTTTTTATAAAAATTTTTACATTATGAGTTAATGGTTATAAGATTATATTATATTATAGTTATGATTAATATAATATTGGGTGATGGTTAACACTACCTAACAACCCACAGATCGATCTAATTATTAATTTCCTGCAAATTTATTCAAAATATTAATATATTTTTTTATAATTCATATCTAAATTTTTACAACATATTTTATCAAAACAATCAAATAAAGGAATATCTTAAATAAGCCCCAATATTCAAGTATTATTAATATATTTTTTTATAATTCATATCTAAATTTTTAGAATATATTTTACCAAAACAATCAAATAAAGGATTATCACTTCTTAAAGTTTGTAATTGATTTTACTTAATATAAAGCATTTTTGAATTGAAAAATTTGTTTTACACAAGTATCATTTTATTTCTCTTTTTCTCTGTCCCAAATTCAAGCAATTACGTATAGTCAGGGACAGATCGCAAAATGACGGAAACTATATAAAAGATTATATTAAATTACAAGAGGCTCAGGAAGTAAATGAAATACCATCGACCAGTCAAATTACGACTGTTGTTAAACAAACTGAATCGTTTTATGACAAATGGGGCTATAATAATTCTGGTAATATGTCAATACCCGATGATGAATATTATAATTACATAAATAATAGATAAAACATTTAAGGTGGATAATTTGTTAGAGTGGTGGACGGCTCATCAAAGCGAATTTCCAATTTTAGCAAAATTGGCAATTCCTGCTTTAGTGAGCGGAATTTTTCCACTACTGGGAGAATTCTTGAAGAAAGAAGAAGTAATCTTCAACCTGAAAAGGTAGATATGCTTCTCTTTCTTCATGAAAATTTGTGAATTTTTAATATCTTTCTTGAGTATAGGGTTTCGTCAATCATGCTGTTTTTTACTTTGCAAACTGTCAAATATTTATTGCATTTATTATATTTACCTTGAGTCATGAAAGTTTTTAATCCAACATTTTTCATTATTTTTTTTTACAATATTATATAATACAATTATCTTCTTTTGTTAAAAATTTATATTATAAAATAAATTATATTATTATTGTGCAATTAGATTATATTTTCAAAATACTATTTATTATACATGCATTTTTTTAAATAGCGATTTATTTTTATTTTATAAATTATAGTAAATTAAATACAATATATTATATTCTCAAAATATTTTCCATTTTTATAAATTAAATATTAGTTTTATTTTTTTTAAATGTAATATAAAATATAGTATATGACAAATATTATTACCATTTTTATGAATATTAGATTTATTTTTATAAATGCAATATAAAATATAGTATATGCTCAAAATATCCATTTTTATAAATAACAGTTTTATAATTTTTATAAATTCAATATAATATTCTCAAAATATTAGCTTTTTACATGCATTTTTTAAATAATAAGCGATAATACTCGCTGAAAAATATGGTAAAATACCTCATAGGTGAATTTTTGTATATACCAGGTCGAATATAATAAAAAATTCCGAGCTGGGCCTGAAATTTTTAAATTCGGGCCGGGCCCGGCCGTAAAAATTTTTTTTAAAAAATATCCGGGCCGGGCCTAAAAAATTTAAAACCGGGCCGGGCCGTGCAAATGGTACCTCTGCAGGTCTCTGATATATATTATTATAGATTTATGAAGCTACTCAAGTTCAATTACATTGTTATCAAGTCAAACAAGAAAACCCTAATAAAATCTGTATCTTGATAAATAGGTTTATATGTAGCCAGCTAAATTTTATACCAAACTAGACGTCTTAAATTCTTAGTAATATTTTTTGTCACAAATATATAATGCAAATATAAAAAATTTGAAACTATTATATAAAAATATATAAATTTTTATCATTTTAGATAAGAATTGAGTCTATATGTAGCTAGTTAAATTTTATACTAAACTAGACCTCTTAAATTCCTAGTAATATTATTTTTCACAAATAAATAATGCAAATATAAAATATTTGAGACCATTATATAAAAACATTCAAAATTTTTATTATTGTTAGATAAGAATTTAAAAAATTAAACATTCTATGTTATATTAATAGCGATTCCTTTAAGATAATCTAATCTTGATCGATTTTGGAAATCAGAAACAATTCTTGTTATTCTCGCATGTAGATTTCGATATTCTTTTCTCGGGTAGAGGGTGTTTTTAAGAATTATATTGAGCAATTTTTAACTCTGTCAACCCCTGTTGTTTTTTAAGCCTAGAACATAAATTATAAAGTTTATTAGTAATTTTTTATACGTTTTAAATCATTTTAGCTAACTTGTTATAAATTTTCACATGTTTAGATGGGGACTTGTTAGGAAGGAACTGAAGCATCTATGCTACCCTTCGACGGCATTGTTGTTTGTGCTTTCCCGTTCAGAGTTGATTGGTAACAGTTCCATAGTTCAATATTAAACACAGCAGGTAGTCTGCTTCTTCTAATGTTTCACCATTCATAAGAGGCTGGAGTAACAATTGATCGTTAGAATAAAAATCGGAGTTTATTAGTAATTCAAATGTTTCAATTACATTTAATATTTCTGCCATATTTTCGGATATTTTTAAATGTTTCGCTAAAAGGATTGGCCAAAATGGGATTAACAACACTTGTATTGTGAACTAGGAAACACATCACTGAAAGCTTTTACACTGGCCATTTTGAAATCCGTCATAATTTTTTTTGGAGTGCATATTAAGGTGTCATCTATAATAGTAAATATTTTTTTTATATTTTTCATAATCCTTTTTGTTGGTCAATATATGTATATGAGTGGTAAGACATTATTATTTTTGATCCCATGGATTCTATAAATTTGCGTAAATAAAGGTGGCGAGGATTTAAATGTACCACCTGAAAACCAATATTCACATATAGCTAAGACAAATTTTTTCTTGTTCCGAATATGATAACATGGTCGGGAACTTAGTACATATGATAAATAAATAAACAATCTTGATAAATAGGGTTTCTTATCAGGCAGCTTATCGTAATAAAAATTTAGGATGTATAGTTATACTTTTTCAAAAAATTCTTAGATAATCTTAGGACCATCCTCAAGAAGTGTGAAACTCTCATATTTATCTGTAATTAAATATCATGCGGAATTACCAGCTCTATAAGGCTACCAGGATTCAAAGGTGCAAAACTGTTTGAACTCCATATTCGGTGAATTATAAGTTTCATAAGATTCGGTGAAGGTAGTGCCATTAATATGGAATCACAAATTGAAATATGTGTTTTGCCACAATAAAGTTTGGAGATTGTATTATTTAAAGCTTCATTCATAATTAAATTTTCTTGGTTTCCATTCCGATTTCTTATATGTTACCATTTTTTTTGTAAGTCGTATGGGACATTTATATCTTGGTAAATATATCTTGGTCAAGGCATCTGAATAGTTTGTCTTTGAGACTACTTTATCCAGGCGGAACAACTAATTTTTAAAAGTTAAGATCTCCTTATTTTTGCTTGATAACATAATTTATGTGACTCCGAAATAAAAAGGAAAGTATGGCGAAAATATTTATAATTTAGACGAGTAGGAATATTTTAAAAAAAATTTCGGCAATACTTTTTTTAATAGTTATAATTTATCAAATGTGTCAATTTCATTCATTATTTGTTAATTTTTAGTAATTATATTTTAAAATTATTTAAGCATAAGAACCCATATCAAGATATTATATTTATTTTAATTGTGATTCATGTCGAGATATTGGGAGGGCCTCCTTTGATCGTATTATTTTGATCGTAAAATGGTACCTTTGTCCATTTTAGGTCAAAATGGTCGATTTTTTAATTCATATGAATTTATATGCACGTAATTTTTCTAATTCTTTATATCAGATTAATGTAGTAATGTATACCTATTAATAAACATATATCAATGTATTATTTATTAGATAATGAAGAGGTACTGATTTTGAATGCCTTTAATTGATGGAAATAGAAGCAACTATAAATATGATTACAACGTATACCTATTAATAAACTGATAAAAATGATTAAAATTTATTATTTATTAGATAATGAAGAAAGAAGAGCTACTGATTTTGAACTCCTTTAAATAATGGAAATATTTTTCTAATTCTTTATATCAGATTAGTGTAATAATGTATACCTATTAATAAACATATATCAATGTATTATTTATTAGATAATGAAGAGCTACTGATTTTGAATGCCTTTAATTGATGGAAATAGAAGCAACTATAAATATGATTACAATGTATACCTATTAATAAACTGATAAAAATGATTAAAATTTATTATTTATTAGATAATGAAAAAAGAGCTACTGATTTTGAACTCCTTAAATAATGAAATATTTTTCTAATTCTTTATATCAGATTAGTGTAATAATGTATACCTATTAATAAACATATATCAATTATTTATTAGATAATGAAGAAAGAAGAGCTACTGATTTTGAACTCCTTAAATAATGGAAATAGAAGCAACTGATAAATATGATTAAAATTTATTATTTATTAGATAATGAAGAAAGAAGAGCTACTGATTTTGAACTCCTTTAAATAATGGAAATAGAAGCAATGGATAAATATGATTACAATTTATTATTTATTAGATAATTATAACTTATAAATAAAATTAATTGATAATTTGGTCAGAATATTATATTTTATTATACATCTATATTATAATTATACATAAGTTTTAAACAAATAAATATTTATTTATAATTTTTAAATTATATTGAGTAATTAGATTTTGAATATTCTTTTCTTTTGTTATATATTATCCATCATGATACAAGCACAAATTCCCTTTTGAAGTTGGAATATATTGTATATCTAAAAATTACAGTGTCAAAATATAAATTATTTATAATCAGATTATGTAAATGTAATAATCAGATTATGTAAATGTAATAATATAATTTATTTACTTAAATTTTCATTGTTGGAATTATGTAAGTCTAATAAAATTCCTGCATTGTTAATGTGTTCCAAGTCTAATTATATTAAAATATATTTTAAAAAAAATATTTGTAATCTACTTGTAAAAGTAGTTTGATTATTAGTGTGGTTAAATGCAAAACTTTGTATTTGGGCCACATTTGTTAATATATCTAAAAAAATGTTTATTAATTTATACAATTATTTTTGTTACTTGAAATTGGAGGGTAAAAGTTATCTCTAGTAATATTTGGGGCTGTATATGTTGTGGTTGTATTTGTTGAATTGTATTAGCTTGTTTATTCAAAAATAATTATTTTGTTTGTTACTTATTGATTACTAGATGAGCTACTGGGTTGGCTAATATTCTGATCTATATTACACTGAGAATCTTTATCTAAATTAATGTATGTAATCTAGATAAGTTTAGTATTAAATATACCTTCAGCTGTTAGATGATTTTGTGTCACTCTAAAAAAATATTTTTTTAAAAATCAAATTAAATATATCATACTTTGTAATGATTCATTTCTTCTTTTAAAAAATAGTCTTAAATTATCAGCTACAGTATTAAGCATAATGTTTTTAAATGATTTTAATTTACCGCGATTAAATAGACCAATCAGAAAAAAATGGACAAAATTTACGATCAAATGACTTTACGATCAAAGTTAGGCAAATCGAGATATTATGCTATATTTTTATCACGCCCCCCTCCCCCCATGACTCTTTTTCCTAGATTTACCCAAAAACAGTGACGAGTAACATGTAAACCTATCCCATTCTAGCTTTCATTTGAGACACTGTAATATTAAAATATTTTACCCTTCCCGTCCCCCCAACATGACTCAGACTTGAAACAAAGTGACTTTAAATATGAATTCAATAAAAAAATTTATCAGCAATAATTTAATATTCTTATCAAGATATATTTCAAAGTAGGTTTTTACAATCCCCCCCCCCTCCCCCATCAAAGAACTTAGATGGATAATAGCATTTAAAACATTTTTTATTCGCTTTCATTTAATGTCCATATCCGATATTTCTTGTAAAAAATATTTGAATTTCTCCAAACCTAAACCAGAGGGCATAGATATAGTGATGGGTAATTTTAATAGCACTCAATATCATTTTATTGACTTTCATTTGATACCCTTGCCTAGATAAAAAAAATAGCCCCCCCCCCCTTCATGACTAAAACATGCATAGAGTAATGATTAATTCTAAACTGAAAAAATCATGCTTATGCGCTTAAAAATAAAAAATATTTAAAATCTCTGAACGATATATTATTTTTTCTGATAATTTAATTATGAGAAAATTAAAATTTTTACTTAGAATTATCTTCGAGGATTTCAGTAAAAATTGCTTTAATAGTTTTAATTCGGAGTAATAATGGAGAAAAAAAATAATATATGTTGATGCACCAACCCACATGTATTGTTATGAACCGTTGCATATTGGCTTAAAATTTCAGAATTTGCTTGCCAAAGTTTAGCAAACTTCGTGCTAAAGTCTACGTCATATATGATGTAAATTCCTATTAAATTTTTTGAAAATAAAATTAATACTTTATATCTAAATAAACAATATAAAAAAATATCTATAAAGATCGTAAAATAATAAGTTCAGAAATATTTTGAATTGGGGAAATCCCTTATTTCATTTAGATGTAATTTATTTTTGAATTGACATTCTAAACAGCATTGTTGTAGTTTTAATTTAGCTACTCTGTTTTTTGGTTAGTGACTTCCAAATCCAGGGCAAATTCAAATAAATATTTTTTTATATTGATTATTATTATTTTCTTTAATATTTTTTAATCAATTTTTTTGTTTTCGAAATCTTTAATCGATTTCTGTTTTAGGAAGATTATTAACCAAGATCGACCTATTTCTGAAGTAGAAGTAGATCTAGAAATTGTTAGTAAAATTCCACTTCTCTTAATAGCCATAGTGGTCAAAGCTTATTCCACTGCTTGAGGTTGGAATCTGATTGCTTCTTATGGAAGTTATAGCTTTCATAATTATCTATTAAACATGTCGCTTTTACTTCTGAAATTTTTGATATCACTTGAAATATTTTGATCATCACCTATTTGTATGCCTCTTGCCACCAATGCAGCCTACCCCTTCAACCTAACGCTGGACGCGGACTGCACCTGCAGCCAAGGACGCCACGATAGTGTAGTTAAAAAGTCGAGTTCACCCGACTCTGACTCAGAGTCTGAGTCGTTAGTCGACTCACTGAAGTCGTGAACTCGAGTCGTGAACTCAGGTTGACTCGAGTCGAGAACTCAAGTCGTGAACTCAAGTCTACTTAAGTCGTGAACTCAAGTCGGCTCAAGTCGTGAACTCAAGTCGACTCAAGTCATGAACTCAAGTCGACTCGAATCGTGAACTCCAGTCAACTCGAGTCATGAACTCAAGTCGACTTGAGTCGAGAACATGAGTTTTCCACTTGAGTCATGAACTTAAGTCGATTAGAGGACGAATATTTCGAATAGGTATATAATATTATTTTTGTTACAATTAATTTATGGTTTTCATGCAAAAAATTTAAGCAAAATTTGAATTGATAAGAATTTAAAATCTTCTTTTTTAATTAATTTTTTATGTGAATTATTAATCTTTTAGTTGAAATCTTTTAGTTGAAATCTTTTATAGGTTTATTTTTTATTATTTTTGTATAATTATCTATTTTTTTTTTGTATATTAAAAGAACTAGTTTAAATAATTTATTTTTAAATATTTATATTAAATTTTTATATGTTATTTTACATGATCGTCTTATAATATTTTAATGTGACGATTGTCATATTATTTTTTAACATTTTTGAAATTTTTGGCACAAAAGGATAAAAATATAATTTATATTATAAATATTTTATATAATAAATTCATTGATGATGCTCTTTTGTAAAAATGACAAATATCATAATCTGTATTTTAAAACGTATTAGTTTATTTTTGACGCTAATAATTAAAAATATAGATTGTAAATATGTTAAATTAAAATTTCAGTGAAAATCTCCCATAGATAAGTGAAAAATGTCATAATCGTTATTTTTATAGTTTTTGAAATTTTTTGACGTTAATAAGTAAAAATATAGGCTGTAAATACGTTTAATTAAAAATTCAGTGAAGATGTACCATAGATATGTGACAATTGTCATAATCGTTATTTTTGAACTTTTTTGAATTTTTTTAAAGTAAATTGGTAAAAATATATATTGTAAATATGTTAAATTAAAATTTTAGTAAAGATGTACCATAGAAAAGTGACAATTGTCATAATCGTTATTTTTGAATTTTTTTGAATTTTTTTAAAGCATATGGGTAAAAATATATATTGTAAACATGTTAAAATAAAATTTCAGTGAAGATGTACCATAGAAAAGTGACAATTGTCATAATTGTTATTTTTAACTTTTATGAATTTTTTTGACGCAAATAGGTAAAAATATAGATTGTAAATATGTTAAATTAAAATTTCAGCGAAGATATATATACCATAGAAAAGTGATAATTGTCATAATCGTTATTTTTGAACTTTAAAGTAAATCGGTAAAAATATATATTGTAAACATGTTAAATTAAAATTTCAATGAAGATGTGCCATAGGAAGTGACAATTGTCATAATCGTTATTTTTGAACTTTTTTGAATTTTTTTAAAGTAAATAGGTAAAAATATATATTGTAAATATGTTAAATTAAAATTTAAGTAAAGATGTACCATAGAAAAGTGACAATTGTCATATCATAATCGTTATTTTTAAAGTTTCTTGAATTTTTGGACGTAAATAGGTAAAATATAGAATGTAAATATGTTAAATTAAAATTTCAGTGAAGGTACACTAGATGAGTGACAATTGTCATAATCGTTATTTCTAAAGTTTTTTAAATTTTTTTGACGCACATAGGTAAAAATATAGATTGTAAAACGTTTAATTAAAAACTCAGTGAAGATGTACCATAGATTATAATCTTCATTTTTAAAATTTTTTGAATATTTTGACGGAAATAGGTAAAAATATATAGTGTAAATATGTTAAATTGATATTTCAGTGAAGATGTACCTTAGATAAGTGACGATTATCATAATCGTTATTTCTATAGTTGTTTGAAATTTTTTGACGCAAATAGGTAAATATATATACTGTAAATATGTTAAAATAAAATATTAGTAAAAATTACTAGATATCCTATAAATTTTATTTTAAGATTTCGAATTCTATAAACATGATTTATCCCCAGAAGCCGGGGCAAATTGGCATTTTATTACCCCGTCATCGGGAAAGAAATAAATATATAAAATTTATATGATAATATCTAATCCTAATATATAAATTATTTTTTTTGTCTATATTCATCAGACAATCTTGTTTAAATTGCGGCTAAACATACAACCTAGATTATTTTCTGCTAATACAATATTTTTTATACCTTATTTTTAGATTATTTTCTGCTAATACAATATTTTTTATACCTTATTTTTATATTTATTTCTTCAAACGTATTAAATATAGCTAATATAGCTAATATAATTTTTATAAGTTATTTAGAACTCAAAAACTATTTTCTTACTAAAAATTAAAATATTATAATAAATTTCAGAAATTTAAAGAAGATTATTATTTAACTTAATAAATACCTGTTATCCTATAATATATCTTTTTTTTCGTTTTTATACTTGGGTAACAACAGCTCCATCAGGAAAGTATAAAATTATTGAAATATTTCTGACAAGAATTACAAATATTATTATTATATTTACTAACCACTAACGAATAAAATTATATCTATCAATTATATAATTTATTTTACATCGCATATATTCATTATTGATAATGCAAAAATAAAAAAAATTTCATTTTATTAATATTCTACTATAAATAATAAAATATAATTATAAAATTTAAAAAGAGTTTTAAATTTGCAACTTAGACATTTTAATATAATTATAGAAATCATAAATATATCCACTCCCCACATATCATTAATTACCTCTTTCCTGGCATTTAGACATAGACACCATCTGAGTTTATTGGGGGGGGGGCTAATCTAACATGGTAGCTATATAATTGCTGAATGTACTCATGTAGTTTTTATATGTTGCACATTTTATCAACTTTTTTACTTGCCGCATTTTTAATATCACTATCATGATGATTTTTGGAAGCCTCGTCTAAAATTTTCTTAATCTTTGCCATAAATAAAACTCCGGTTCCAATCCAAAGTTATTTTATGGAATGCAATGTTTTTATATCTCAAAAAAGTTCAAAATTGTATATTCATTGAATATTATATAGACTTAAAATAAAAGGTTATTTCATATAAAATAATCAAAAGAAAACACAAAAGGTGCCAGCGAGGCGCAAAATCAACTTAAAATAAGAAATAAATAAGCCTTCTTGCTAAATTTAGTGGTACTTTGGTATAAAAAAATAAGCTTTTTATATTTTTTTAATGTAATAAATTTTAAATAAGATTAGAGAGAGAGAGATGAAGGAGGGATTGGTTATTTATTT